GAGAGAGGGGTTATTAATTAGTACACATTGCCAGTGTGTAAGTGAAGTGGAGACTGCAGGCTGGGAAGGAAGTTTCCAGAAATAATCCATATATATTTGGATTGTTTTTAAACTCAGTTACAAAAGGGGCCCCAGCTCACCTGGTATGTACATTTATACTGAAATAATAATTTACTCTAACTGCGGGAGAGCAACGACTCCTATCAAAACACCTGCAAATACTGTAATCGTGTATTTTCGGTAGCTACGTCTTTGAAAACATGTTATTTACCCAGAGGTACAACATCTTTTCTGCTGACAAAAATAAATAAAACCCTGATAGTCTGACATTCTACATTTTGTAATATGCAGCTATCTAGTAAATTATAACACTAACTGCCCTGGTGATTCCACTAGCCTCAGATGCAAAAACTACAGTTTTCCTCATCAGTCTTCAAGGGAACAGATTTAGAAAAATAAACAAAGGTAAAACTTGTTAAATATTAAATCAGTCTCACACAGGTAAAGCAGACTGCTCTCATCACACTCTGTGTACCCCACAGTGTGTTACCTCTGGAACCCTTACAAGACCAGAGCTCCTTAAGGCTCCTTAAGGCTCCTTAAGGGTAAGAGCATGGCCTTTTTTAAAAAGCAAAGTTTAGACCCCATTTTGTTTCTTTTTCCCTAATGCTTTTGTACTGAGAGAGATACTCTTCAACTAACTTATAGGTGATATAATAGCAAGAAATCAATTTGTACCTAAGTAAAAGAAATCTGATATTTTTTCCTATAAAAACACCAGCCAAAATTGGGGTATTTCACTTGAATCTCCAGTTGTTATCTGGTTCTTTGGGATTCTGCATGTGAGTTCATAACCAGCTAACAGCAAGAACTGTCCACAGAGGACCACCAGTATCACTGAACTGTGGCATGATATTCTGGTTCAGTATACATCAGATCACACCCCTGAACACCCATCTACATCAGCTGAACTGTTCAAAGACTAAGAAGCAGACATGAATTCAGCATGAGTGGGAGAGAAAGAAAAAGGAAGGGGCTGAAACCTTTATGATCTCAGAATAAATGCAAAGTTCAGGAATAAATGACTCTACTGGAAATATTAGTACAATGCAGCAGGCAATCCAAGAGGACGCCTTGGGAAAAGGGAAGACGCATAGCCAACAGAGCAGAGCTGTTCGCAGGATT